AATCATGATGTGATGCTACTGAACAGTAGAAATGAGATACTGCATAGTCAGCATTACCCAGAAGCTATGCAGGAACACTACTGTGCAGTAACACCAGTTACTGCACAATCATTTAGTCCTTGGTTATATGTGTACTAAATGACATCTCATGTAGACATGGCCACTGTCCCCCAAAGGTTTTTTGTGTGACTGCTGAATGGTTATAAGAAAGGTTATAAGAAAGGAACACTACATTAAGGCTAGCAAAACCATTGGATATTATTATTCATATAGCTAGGAGAAGTGACTACTGTAAAATATAATTAATTAAACAATTTGGGAGCTTGACAAAGAAAGAGTTCCAGGGACTGCATCCGTGGGACTCCCAACAGCATACTTCAAACTGTAACAGACTGTCTGAAACAGCTTTCTATCAAGTGAACATGGTTCCAAACCATGACTCAAATGACTAGAATTATTAGAAACCCTCTCTGCTTCTTTGTGGGCTACTGAATGCATCCAAGGTTTCTGGAACTTAGGATCTGTAAGCTGGTCTCATGTGTTTCTGGTCTTGCATCCTGTATTGAGCACAGGCAGTTTAAGTGCATTTCATAATCTGCATTTTACACTTACATGTTCAAGTATATTTTTATAGTAAAGTTGGGTTTCCTGACTACAGCAGGAACTCTTTAACAGTGTTTGAAGAGTGTGATACAACTTGATAGGAGGCACCACCGACACTGTCAACAGTGCCTGTGGGCAGTCCACAATTGCCTCTGGCTGCTGCTACTGACAGTGCCTGCAGGTGGTCACCAACCCCTGGATGGTTCTTGCCAGCCCCCTGCCCCCACCGATGACAGTGCCGGTAGCATCTGCAGGAGCTCCCCTGCTTGCCGCTAGGCTCCTGCTGCTACCATCGCACTCCCACTGCCACCAGCACAGCTGTGCCCTCCAGCCACCGGGGGCATGCGCTGTTCGTGTTGGCAGTGTTACAGAACTACCGAGTACCTTGGTACAGACTGGTTTTTATTTTAACCTATATGATCATTTTAAGTGTGGAAGGATGCATGTAGGAAAAGTGGATGGTATGCATTTGTCCACATTAGATAGGCTGGCAGAAATTAATTGCTATCAAAGGGCATTATACTCTGTCTTATCATATTTCATTAGTAACCAGCTGATTAAGTCTTAATTGAAGAACTATAGCAGTGCTGACAGTTTGATATCACAATATTTAGCAAGTGGAACTCCCTTCCTTATATGCAATATCACAGAACATTGCACCAAGTGAGGATGTTTTAAAGTAACAAATGTTTGATACTTTTTTCTTATTTTTTACAGCTTATGGGAAGGAGCAGTACCAGTGTTGACAAAACCACAGCCACTCCTGGTATGCCTATATTTCAAGTCAGTGTGCTAGGCCAGGTAATTTTCACAGGGCATGCTTGATTCTAGCAGGTTTGTCCCTATTCTCAAATCAGATTGATTCTCCTCTTAGAAAGCAAAGCTTTTTAACCTTGCAGATCTCATCCCCTGAGCTAAAGCTCAACGGCTGTCTGTAAAAGGATTTGGTAGTCTTCTTCTCCATAGAGAAACACAGTGCTGCAAGAGCAGTACTCCAAGCAAGTAATTTACTTTTATAAACAGTATAAATAAAGCAGAAAAGGACATTAGTAATTCACAAACTTACAACAAGCACCCTGGATGGTTTATTTTATTCAGTGCAGAAAGTCTTCAAGCTGTACAGATATAGTTCATGTATGTAAAGCTAAAGGGTTTTTTTTCTTCATATGTGAGTGAGATACAAGTTAAGGTGTCCCAAGAGAAAGTTATTTGACTCCCAGTACACATTTAAAGCCCTTTTTAGTAGTTTTACAAAAAAGATAGATGTGCACATTTCTTTTAAGTTTAAGAATGTTGTGCTTAGACATGCTGTAGGAAATGCGTACACTCATGAACACATCCTCATATATGCCAATCTCCTTACATTATCATAATTGAAATTAAATTTTTTATATATGTGAGATTTTACAGTAGCAGAACTGAATAAATACTAGCTGTGTAGCGAGGTCCAGCAACATACCATTAACTAACAATGGAGGTAGAAAGAGAAAAACCACAATTAAAAACACAAAAATAACCACAAAAATACCCTATTAGAATGAAAATTAGAGCATAAATGTGTTTTCATTTAATTTTTACATGTTTGAAAACAGGCAGCATCAAGAAAACATTTTGTCAAGCAAAGAGGATTCCACTTCGAGAATGCAAATTTGTCTGATAAAGGTAATTGAATAGCTGAACCATACTTTGCCTGTGGAAGTGATGTAACACTAACCCACTTTAAAGATGGGAAAGGTTTGCTACTTGGGAGCACAAAGTAACCAAGCAGACCTAAAATTTTTGAATGTCCACTCATGTACCCCCATTGTGGAGTTAAAATGCTATAACATAAGCCTGAATGAGATGGGTTTTAAGTTAAAGCAACTTGACTTCCATTTAGAAAGGAACAGACAGGATAGACAAGTGTCAAAATGCATTCATTTTCAAAGTTCTGTGTTGTATTTCAATTAAAAGACTTGTTTTAGTTGAACCTTCAGTTACAAAGTTCAATGCAAAACTAACTGGGTAAAAGTCTATAGATGTACATTATACAGGAAAGCTGATCTTAACAGTGCCTTTTAGTCTTAAAAATCTATTAATCTATGGATGCCAATACCCTAGTACAGGGGTTAGCAACCCCTGGCACACATGCCGAGTATGGCATACAAGGCCATTTTGCTTGGCACGCCGCAGCCAGCGATGGAGCCCAGGCTGCTTTGAGCAGGGCTTGCAGCGTCCCAGCTGCCTGCTGGCAGCAGCCTGGGATCCTGGCTGGCAGCAGCTCCCCAGAGTTGGGGTGGCTGCAGCTGGGAGGCTCCAAACAGCTGTACTGGGCTCGGGTACCAGAGCATGCAGGACTGCCTCGGAGCAGGCAGTGAGGGCCTGAGGCAGTGCAGCCCCAGTCTCTCCCCAGCTTCAGTCATAGAAGTGGTGAGCCCAGCACAGCTGTTTGCACTCTGCCCACTGCTTGCTGCAGCTGCCCAGAGCCCGGGCTGGTTACAAACAGCTGTGTCGGGAGAGGGGGGGGGAGAGACTGGGGCTGTGCTGCCTCAGGCCCCGCCCCCACCTCCTGCTCTCAGGCATGCCTGCATGCGCCAGTGTGGAGCTGATTCCGGAGCAGCTGTTTGGAGCCTCCCGGCTGCAGTCGCCCCGGCTCTGGGGAGCTGCTGCCAGCTGGAATCCCGGGCTGCTCCTAGCAGGCATCTGGAACACTGCAAGCCCTGCTGGGAGCAGCCCAGGCTCCAGCAGCTACCCAGAGATGGGGTAGCTACTGGCAACCACAGAACCTGGGCTGGGGGGCAGGGGTTTTGGGTGGGGGCCAAGGGGCACATGCAGGGCATCCTGCTATGTATCACTTGCCCTCATTTTGTTTTTCTGCCATGCCAGCACCTTCCGAGGTAGGCGTTATGGTGTTTCTTGGCACTCCGGCCAAAACGTTGCCTACCCCTACTCTAGTACTTCCCTTTAAGTAATCCAATACAAAAAAAAGTTCTATTTTTTTCTACATATGCATGCCAGACAGCTAGTAGTTGTCTGATAGTATTTTAATATGCAAAACATTCTCTGAAATTTAATAGTTGTTCTTAAACAGAAAGCTAAACACTATGTTGTATGGTCTGTTTTAATTTTGTTTAAATGTTATTTAAACTAGTACATGTATAATGTTCAGTAAAATTATACAATAAGCTTGCACATTTTTTATTTATATCTATATATAGATACACACAAATATATATCTCATTATGTACATTGTATATTATATACATTACATTATGTCTAATGTATCAATTATATATATTTTTTATTTTTTTTGCTTTAGTGAAAGCTGTAATTATACTACTATAACTATTCCACTATTTGGGGGTTAAAAGTAAAATACAAATAAGTGTTTAACACCCTACTCCATTTAGTTTCCAAATCACTGTTACTGTAATTCACAATTTAGTCAGCTACAGTTTATTGGGCACTTTGATACTAATTGTATTGAACTTTCCTGCAGCTATATTCAATGCAGATCTGTGATCCACCCTCTGATTATACCCTTGGTATAATTATGTAAGCTTGTATTTACCACATGAGGAAATTACAAAGTACATATAAAAGGTATTTCTGAAATATCAAGGGCTTAGTCACACTAGATGATACATATGTTCCTACAATTTTATGACAAAATATGAGCACAATAGAATATGTCCATGATACCTATTAGTAAAATGATTTAAAAGACATCTGGTTGGAGAAGAGACCTAGCAATATTATTGACATGAGTATTAATACTAATAGGAAATCCATATATGCAATTAGATTGGACTGTTTCCTCCCTTTAACTTTTCATATACTCTCAGCTTCAATCCTGAAACACTGTTATAAATTTATCCATACAGAAGTTACAGAATCATAGCCTTAGAATGTTGCATCTTTGGAGCTCAGAATACATTTTACCTGTATAATGAACCTTGTCTTAAACTGTAACAAAGGTCATAAAGCCACCAAAATCAGGCTTGATTTGGGGGGTTATAGTGTGTCATGCTTAGATATTTCTACATGGAACGCTAACTGTGCAGTAGCCCAATAACACTGTAGTAGTGTGTCACAGGACAAACTGTGCTAATACACTACTGCACAATATTATTATTGCTATTGCGCAGTAGCATCACTAAAAAGTCATTTTCTGGTGCTACCGTGCAGTAACTTTGGTTACTGCCCATTTATTTAGTACTTGATTATACTAGTACTAAATTAAATGTTCAGTACCCACTGGACATTAATAAATGTGTAGATACATCTTGAGAGTATGCAGTCAGCCACAGAGATAACACAACTTCCAATGTTTATTGGGTCGAGGCAGCAATCCCAACAAATTGTAGTTTACCTTTCAAAGAAAAAAAAAAAAAAAAAAAAAAACCCTTTATCAAGGGGATCCATTCTCAGGAGACAAACAGCTGGAAGGCATCTCATACGAGACTGATATTTTTCAGATCTGGAATAAAATAAGAGACAGTTTATATCTGTCTTAAATAACTGATAACTAAAGAAATTGGATTGATGGTCTCTCAGTCTTGTTAAAAATTAATTTTAGGCAGCTCCTGGAACTCTTAGCCCCTCACACATTAACACCTGAAACTAGTTTTAAGCACTCTTTAGGTGGCTTAAAGCTATGCCATTTGAATCTAGGTTTATCACTGATCCATGTTATGCAGCTCATGTTACACTAATTTGTAGTCATACTAGGCTACATATTAGTTTAAACATCCCATCCACCCCCTCCCTCTGCCATCTTGGATTTGGCCCACTGTCTATCCTCACCCCCTCCAGCACCTCAGAGCCCACTTACTGGCCCTTCTGCATCCTCCCCTCCCCTCCCTCACTTAGGTGTGGTTGTCCACACTGTCTGTTCCAGGGAAGCAGACAAGGAAAGATTAACCTGCCTGCCTGGCCACTTCCACCACCACTTCTGCTCTTTGGGTTGGACTCAACTTAGAGAAAAGCACCAGCCCAGCAGCAGAAGCATGGGTTGGAGAAGCAGGTTAACCTGTCACTTCCTGCTCTCTTCTACTACAGTGTTATTAGGCTACTGCACAGTTAGCATTCCATGTAGAAATATCTACACATACTACAATACTACATTTCTCTCCCAAGACAGACAGTATAGGCAGCCACAAGTATGTGGGGGGAGGGGGTCGAGAGGCAGGAGTGGAGTGTTGGGGCCAGAGGGGAACCAGGGAAGAACTAGGAAGTAAGGTGTCAGGGGGAAGCCGAGGGGGAACAAAATCTTACCTTTCAGTCCTACAGGCTCCTCCTGGCCTGAACATTTGACTGCTCCAAGCTCAAGCTAGCACTAAGTTTAGCTCAGGCAGCTCAAAGTGTAATGCATAACAAGGCCCTTCGATGTAATTGTAAATCAGTGGCATCACTTGGCATGACTGAGAAATGCGAATCTAGGAAAGGATGTTTTCTTCAATAAATATACATATTATTGAAGGACTCAGTAGAAAAATTAAGATAAGTCTCTCTCTTCATTAGGGGGATAGGTCTAGAAAGTCATAACCTTAGAGTGATCTACACACTCACTTTACATAAATTGTGTGTGGTGGTGTGGGAAGTCCCCAACCAGCCACAGTGCTTGTCTCCGACTGCCTCTGGGCACAACACCCACCTCTCACCTGCAACACCTTGCTGTTAAGTAATTAGTTGTTAATTAGGCAGTAGGCTGCCCTTTGGGGGCCTTTATGTCTAGGGCCAAAAGTACATGCTTCTGCCATCCTTTAATATGTCCCATGCCTCTCAGATGTTTCTAACAGCTGTGCTCTGCTGTTAGAGCCAGCCTGAGGCCAGGCCCAACTCAGCACAGTGCTAGGCCTCTCACATTCTGCCCTATTATAAGCTACACTCATACCGCCTCCCTCTCACTGAGGCCCCCCTCAGTCCACTGGCTCTCACCTGGTCTCTTTCATACTGCCCTTCCTGGGCTTCACTCATACCGCCCTTCCTTTCCCTGGGGCCACACTCACCCTGCCCTACTCCAGGGGTTCTTAGGCTTGATTCCCTTCACTCCCCGGCCAGCAAGTGCACAGATTTTTGGGCATCTCCTGCTCCCCTCAACTGAACGAACGCTAGGCGGTATGCAGAACACTGGTCCGACTCAGCCTCTGGTCTCTTGCCAGGTCACTCACCCAGCTGCTCTCAGTCAAGGGGATCTTGACTCACCCTTTTGTTTCCCTGTGGCTGCTCCTCTGCCACACCTCCCAATCGGCCTCTGGGCCACCTGTGGCCTGAAGTGCCTGAAGCTTACCTGGACTTAACTTGGACCCCATGCTAGCAGGACCTACCCTCAAGCCCCCTGCTCACAGGGACCCAACTCACACCCCTTATTCACAGGGTCTTATCTCATGCCCCCATGTTGACAGGGCCTCACAATTACCATTCTCTACCCGCCCCTCCCTCCAGGGCCTCACAATGGCCACTCTCTTGCAAGCCTTCAGGTGCCATTCTGCATCTCTGCTTCCACTGAGGCACATAATCTGCCCCCTATTCTGGGGCCTGGGGTCAAACACCCCTATAGGCTTAGGCACCACTCATTGGCATGCCTGGCCTACAACTCTCAGTCTCTGGGATCTTGCACCCCACACAGGCTCAGGTGGCTGCAGCTGTGCCTGGCCCCACTATCCACTCCCTGGGGTCTTCATCTCTCACAGACTCAGGTGGCTGCATCCATGCGTGGCCCTACTACCCACTCCTTGGGTTCTTGCACCCCACATGGGCTCATGTGGCTACAGCTATGCCTGGCCCCACTACCCACTCTTTGGGCTCTTGCACCCCACAAAGTTCAGGCGCATGAGCCCTCTACTGCCTCTGGTGTTAAATAACCCACGCAAAAATGGAGGCTGGGGTTAAAGCACCCCTTCCTGCCTTTCATCAGGAAGGTAACTGACCTGGTATTTCCTGGGGGCTCCCACACTAGGAACACTGCTAGGATCCCCACTAGGCAACCCTTCCCTGGCAGGGTGCAGTTTCAAGTCATGCCCAGGACCAGGAGCCTCCAAGACATCAACATAAGCTCCTGCCCTTACCTTCTAGTTGTTGCAGTCACAGCAGCTCCACCAGGCAATGTTCCTTCCACAATGTCAGGCAGCAAACTACTGCCTCCAGCTCTCCCAGCCTAGATCTAAAATGGCTACTCATCAGAAATGGGGCATCACCTGCTGCCAGTTCTTAAAGTGGCAGATATCAGATATGCTCTGCCACTCACCTTCCCTCTTAAAGTGGTTTCTGGGGGAGGCTTTTCCCTGCTGTTCCTCAAGCAAGATCCTACACAGCTTGTAACAGCTCCAGAGTGATGAGCACCCCTCTGGTTCTCCACCACTTGGGATAAATACCATTGCAATCTGAGAAGCTGCTTTTAGGAAAGCTCTGTGAGGAGGGATGAGGCAGTTCTGTGGGCAGAGAGAAGTGCTGTATTATAATAATTAATGAAAGCTGAGATCCTTCTTTAGTGTCTATGGTAATGGTCTTATATTCTGATCCTGCAACTTACAGTTGCAATGTTTTGTGATTTTTCTTGTCTATATAATATATCTCACATGTACTTTCTGCTGTTTTATTTACTTTACTGATTGGCTGTGGTGATTTTCAGAGCAATTTTCAACTGCAGGCTTATCTCTTTTGCAGAAGAACACATCTGGAATTTTCTACAAAGCAAAGATAATGAACCATTAGATATCAAAACTTCTGTTGTAACTGCAAGCTCTGGATTGTGTCAAGTGTTACTAAGATTTGTGGGGTAAGAAGTTGTTTCAGAGTAGATCACAGTGGACAGACAGTGAAGAAAACAGTAGAGAAACATTTTCAGTTGAAGGATACCCCAATGGGAAACAACTACAATTCAAGATATTAAATATAAACTAATAATAATGGCTGTTTGTACATGTGATGGTTGTCATGATCCACACGTGATGAAAATGTCATTTATGTCACTGAAGGGCATTACAACTGCACCAATTTTGGGGGTTTTAGATAATTTTGCATTGTTGCAAACTAAACTACATGTGGATGTAGTTTAGTTTGCAATGATGAATTGCAGCTATCAACTTGCCCCCCTGGCCACGGCAAGCAAGCTCTGAATAAAAACACATCAGGCCCTCTCTGCTTCTGCCTTCAGCAGGTGCCTGACAAGGGGCCTGATCCTTTAATTTAATTTAATTTAATTTAATTTAATTTTATTTTTGGTGGAGCATGCCCACCTTTCCTGTGGCCTGGGACTGAGCTGCTGGTGGACCAAGTGGCCTCTGAGCTGCAGGGGGCCCTGGTCCTTCCCCCTGTAGGAGTTGAACCACCTGGGGCCACCCTGGTGGGCTGCTAGTGGACTGGGTGCTACCCCAGCTCAGAGGCAGCTGCTGGCTTGTTACAGCTTTTCCCTGAAACTACTTGCAGGAAGCCTGCCAACTGCTGCTCCCTGGTTGGGCTCTGGGAGTAGTTGGATCAGACTGGATTCTGCCTCTGAGCTGACCCATTAGCAGCCCACCCAGACAGCCCCAGGGGGCACCAATGCTGCAAAGGGAAGGACTGGGGGCTTCTGCTGCTCAGGGGCGACTCAGCCCACCATCAGCTTGCCCTCTGGCCATGGGCAGGCTCCAGCTCTGACCAAAAATTAAAAAAAGGATCAGGCCCCTTGACATAACATCAGAAAAATTGAAATGATGAGTTTCAATTAAAAACCCACCATTTCAATGTAGGGGGCATAGAATAAAACCCTTAGAAGTAAACCCCTGTCACATATACAAGTGCCCAATGATAGCTCATGTGGCTCAATATACCTTTTCTACCTCCATGCTTTTCAGTAAATTGATCTTTTTAAAGAGCATTAATTTCCAATTTTGTTTCATTGGCAGTTTTACTTTACTTTTTCCTTTCAATATTTTGATTATCATTATTTAGAACTTGAAGAACTAAGTTCAAGACCAAGATGTTCAGTAAATTAACATCCGACTGCAGATTTTTAGGGGTGAGGTAAATACTGTTGCCACATTATTTAGGAAAGGTCAACAGATCACCAAGTTTGACATTTAATGTTGAGAGCTGTTTCATTCTCTGTTCTGTCTAGTGAGTCAAATGATGGGCAATCTAAATCACTTCTTCCCAGGTACACATATCAAAGAAGATAAAATTGTTTTGTCTTCAAAAAGTATACTGTGCAATGGTTAACATTTTGCCTATAACTTGCTTCAGGGAGTGCTTGTCGCTCACACCCAGGAAACTCAAAGTAGTTGAGTCATCTGGGTTTTATCTCAGCAGAAAACTAAATTCAGCAAAAATATAAATTGCATATGAGGCTATTTCCCCTGAAATAGCTCTTAATTAAAACTCTGATCTTTTTTGAGATTTACAGTTCATATTGAACTTTACAACTACTCTATGTCAGGTGTAGTTTCTTAATGGACTCCCCCATTTACCAGCCAAAGGAAACCTCTTTTTAAAAGAGATGGAGAGCAAAATTGCTCTGAGTTGCCCTGCAGCCAAGACCTTTGATTTCAAGTTCTGAGTTCATCAGCAAGCACCTGACTCAGACAGAGTAGCATGAAATCAGATATGCTCCATTCTTTTGAATCAGAAAGCTTGAATGTTGTATGTTTTGTACTTTAACAAGAATGTAATATTCTCCTCCAATTATATTAATGCAGACTCAGTTGATGATAAAATAAATGTAAGTTATTAGCAGAAACGTAATTTATTGTATGTATTAATGCAAATGGAAAACAAAACCAGAAATATATACATTCTCCTCCTAAAAGCCACTGTCATTTATGGTTAAGTTTTCCTTCTCCCTCTGACACTTTCCTCCAAGTATTTATAGCATAGTAGTACTGAGCATACCACATAGTTACAGTTAGATTGGTTTCAGCAAGGGACCTACATTATCAGGTCAATGCCTATCACTTATACAGTAATTTGTTTTCACTCTTGATTTCCTCTTTTCCCAAGTTCCTTCTGCCATTTACTTCTGCTCATTTCCCCTGACATACTTCTGCTGCTGATTGAGCAACATGTATGCAACAAAAGTACCATAATGGGGTCAGGTTCAGAGGGAGAGGAAGAGAGGGATCAATCTCTTTAGAAAGTGAGTATCCATTATACCAAGATTTGTTAAAAAAAAAAAAACACAACAAAACTTTAGTTACTGAATTTGCAAAGTATTTAAGATGCTCTTTCATGCAAAGAACAGTTATTTGAATTAGAATATACTTGGTCTAAATCTTGTTAGTCCACTGGGGAAAAAAAAGTTTATAAAATATATATTTTATACCATTACCAGAAAAGTCTTTTTTGCATAATCTAAAAATAAATAATTAAATAATTGCTTTATAAAATGGAGAAAGATCACAGCAAGGATATAAAATGTGTATTGAAATAATACCAAACCAAAGTTTCATTACATTATTTGTTGTAGAAGTTATTCATTTCCTACATCATTTCACATTAGAATCTTCTCTGAGAGAGGCAGATTAATCTCACACTGAAGTCAGTAGGGTTTGTAAAGATATATTTTACTACAGACTTTGACCATATAAAGACCAAGAAATGATGGATGGTATACTGTCAAGGTCACTGATGGCTAGAAAATGTTATTTAGAGGTTTCCTGCTGGGAATTGGCTAGTAGGTAAAGTACATATGCATTAGGATAATCGTCCAGGGCAACAGCAAGGGTTATTCATAGATTTATCCGTGTTAGGGACTGGAAGGGACCTTACAAGATAACTGGGTCCAGCCCCCCTGCACTTGGGCAGGAAAGACTGATGGGGCCAGATGACCCCAGCAAGGTTGGCATCAAGACACTTTTTGAAAATTACTAGGGTGGGTGACTGTACCACCTCTGTGGGGCATCTGTTCCAGACCCTCAGCACTCAAATTATAAAGAAGTTTTTCCTTATGTCCAATCTGAAGCAACCTTCAATCAATTTGTGCCCATTTTTTCTTGTCTTCCCCTGGGGTGCCTTGGTGAACAGATGCTACCCAGGTGCCACCGAGTCCCCTCTGAGGGGACAGATGCGACCAAATCCCCTCTGAGTCTTCTCCAGGCTGAACAGTCCCACTGGCTTTCAGCCTCTCTTCATTAGTTGATTTCTAAAAAGTCTGTTTGTGACCATTTCTTCAAGGCCAACTGTGTCTGACACAGGGAAGCAGCAAGCAGACACACAGGCTGTGTGTAATGAAATTAAAGACATGTACTACACTGTTCCATAACATGAGATAAGGTGGCACTGGGTTACAGTGCCCAATTGCAGGGCTCTTGGGATTTCTGGTTTTGGGGGAACAGACCAAATTAGGAGAAGCCCAGATTTGGATGTGTGTATGTGATAGGCTTGTGAAACCAAGGAATATGCTGGCAGGACAGAATGTGGACAGCATGAGGACCACAGAGAGACCAATCAGCAATAGCCAGAAATGAAGGCTCATCAGGAGGGGATAAGAATACAAAAGAAGGGATTTCAGAGCTGCAAAGTGTCCCTGAGAGCAGAACCCAAGGCCACCATGGACAGAGGGCAACTCACCAGCCCATCTCACCCACCCCACTGGTTGGGGGTAGGGGGACGCTGAGCCTCCAATCTCCAGGCTGCTGATAACTGACATTCAAGAAAGAACCTCAGAGTGAAGCTCTGATACTGGCCAGACATATCTTGACTCTGTGAAGCTCTGGGACTGGTAGACATAGAACTGTTTGCATTATTTTTATCTGCTATTACTGTGTATCAATAAAATCCACATATTATTGAATGGAGAGGTTGTTGTCGGTCTAAAGGTTCGGGTACACCCATAGCAAGATAACTGGGCCACCCAGTGCCAACAGTCATGATGTAAGGCTCATGACATTTAGGTCATATTTAGTAAAGAAGTAATGAAGAGATATACTGCATTTTCAGATTTTAGGTCAGAGTGTTTTATAGCAGAAATTTCCAAAGCGGTGGAAGTGGTAGGTTATAACCTTAATGAGGATTGCTATATGCTGTATCTTTGTAAGTCTCTCTTCAGATGGGAAGCACTGATTGAACCACAGGTGATGGGGAAAGGGAGAAGCAAATGGGGGAAGGGAAGAAGGTAGAGCATTGTATTATTCTTTATCTTTTTGATCTCAGGGGAAAAAGACCCTATTGAAGTCAGTAGCCATTTTGGAACCCATTCACTTAGCATTATGGCACTTGCAGGATACTTTCTTAAG